AAACAAAGTGCAGTAGAAAGTGATAAGACGTTCCTGAAATGTAGACTAACAAAGGGAGATTTTCAGAGGACCCTAACTTTACACAGGCTAGCCGGTGAATGACAGGTCAACAGCACGTACCAACGGAATATCACATGACATGAACTTGAAGTGAAGTAAGTGGCCACCGATATACCTGACTTCTATCAAGGAGTCCAGTATGAGTTTCATCTGCGGCTGACAAAATTTACAACAGTCAAACGCCTCCACAAGGACTTTTGTCTATAGATCAGTTGTAGGAAAACCACAATCTCTCCAAGCAACATTGAACCAGAATTAAAGACAAGGTAAACAGGTAGCAAAGACGAAGGCACGTCGATCACCGGAAACAAGGTTTTATTCGTCTGAGCTTTCGAACTCTTATAGGAGACCACCGTCAGAGATAAGAGCGTCAACGAAAAAACAAGCAAAAGTTATAAAGGACAGGAACAATTAATCATCAGTGACTTCAGGACGGAGACGCCTACGCAGGGCGATGCATGCCGGTGCTGGGTCAAGAAATCGATTGACTGTTTCCTCATCCGAGGCCCAGGCTTCAATCAATTCTCGGCTTGTCTTGTTGTCGACGTGGGCGATTATCTTCGCGGCTGCGAAGTTAAATTCGTGACCCTTCTCGCAGGTGTGGGCAGCCACTTGTGATAATGCGTCATTCCGTCGTACAGTTAGCTTATGTTCGTGTATGTGCGAACCAAGCATGCGTTCAGTCTGTCCTGTGTAATTTCGAGGAGCAACAATACGGTCGGTCGTTTCCGACAAGTCCTTGATGTATGGCGTGCCATATCGTACGGGCTGGTTCAGGGTGAGTCCTCAGAAGGCGAACACGTAGGCATCGGCTTATGAAGGCCTTCAGACAACCGTTCCACACAAACTGGGGGCGGAAATATCGGGCCTCACGTGCTTTTTCTTCTGGGTTACTGCAGTGAGTCTGGATTCTTTAGAACAGTGTTCTCCTACAGCTTCGTTTGTGAGCTACCAGATGATGGCTGTGAAAATTGAGAGGCTGCGTGCTGTTGGTCGCCTTCCTGCAGACCGTTGTTTCTATTTAGCCGTTGAAAGTTCGCATGACGAGTACATAAGGGAAGGGTAGCTGCTGATGCTTTTCTTCTTCCCTTATGAATTGTATATCTGGAACGATCGAGTTAAGGTGGTCATGGAAATTCTGCAACGTGTCCCT